CCACGTCCGGGCGCCAAAATGTTATTCTTTTGTTCAAGCTGCAGCTGCTGATATAAAGAAAGGAACAACGGATGAATAACCCATGTGCAGTTTATTTACCAGAAAGGGGGGGAGGGAGAGACAGGGATGGGTAGTCAGCCAACCCGAGAGGAGCCAAAAGAAGGGCATCACCAGTGTTCTTATTCACATTGTCTGTCTACTTGTGAGGAGACCCAGATGCGAAGAATAACTGCTATCAGAGACTTAATAAAATAGCCCATTTCTGTAACGTGGGGCCCTAGTTGGTGTATGTTTAGCCCAGTTGTATTCCTGGGAAGTAATGATCACTGATACTCAGAATTGATGGAATTGGCTTCTTGGACATCAAAGGAAATTTCCATTTGTTTGTTTGGATATACTTATAAAAGAAAAAGTGACATGAGTATTTGGAAAGGTTTTCTACATGGGCCAAAATGAAGAAATACAGTTTTGTTCATGGTTTCCCAATGAAGTTGAAAATCAGCTAAGTAGGCCATTTAGTTTATCCTGTCTTCCTACTTAAATATTTTGGTTAATAGAACCCCTCCACCAAAAAAAAAAAAAAAAAAAAAAAAGGCACAAAGGTATTATTGGTGAAATCTGAACGAGGTTTCTAAAGATTGGCTGGGTTAGTGCGGTACTTGTTTTAGAGTATGTTCTCATTGACTTTGATCAAATGACATGAGCATGCTTTAGCTCTCAGCCTGTAGATCTAACCCTCTTTCAAGTGTCAAGTGACCCTTTCACAGGAATTGTATATCATATATCCTGCATATCAGATATTTATATTATGTTTTATAATAATAGCAAAATTATGGTTATCAAATAGCAGCTGCAACAACAATAAAAAAAGAAAAAAAGAAATAGCAACAAAAGTGATTTTATGATTAGGGGTAATCACAGCAATGAGGAACTGTATATTTAAGGATCACAGCGTTAGGAAGGTTGAGAGTCACTGCTCTATTTCCCTAGACTGTAATATGATGACAGCATCTCATAATGTTTGTTCGGAGGATCAAATATGAGAAGACCCCTAGAAAACATGGCAGAACACTTCTCATTATGGCAAAGTGTGTTGGATTTGGTGTGATCCTTCAAACTAGACAAGGAGAGGTCACTAGAGGAATGAGCTAAGAAAGTATCACCTGGTCCTTTGGTGGTCTCTGCTTCCATATTCTTGAAGGCTGAGCTTTGGGATTACCAAGGAATTCCAGGGCTAGAGTTTTGGGGAGTGTTCAATAGGTTTCTTTGTTGTCTCTAACAGTCCCAACAAGACCATTTTAGGCTTGTAAAAGGATCCTTATTCCTGGGGTAGACCTTGGAACAAGCTGTCCTGGTTTTCTTTGTAGAATGGAACTTGGGGTGACAGGTTTATTTGGACTTCTGGATCTGCTTCAGGATCAGTGCTTAGCTAAATGATGCCACCTAGGGATCCTGATTGGGTTTGTTTTCTCTGCCAGTTAAAGGATTAAAAGGCAGGAAAAATCTGCAGTGCCACAGGTAGCTGCTGAGTAAATCTCAAATACCAGCAGATAGAATCCCAGTTGAAGAAAGGCATTTATTGAGGATACAAAATACACATGCAGCAGACACAGAGAAATAACTGTAAAGCAGAGTGGAAACTGGAAAGCCAAAAATTCCAGGCTGAAAGGGTTTTAAAGTCCCTAATTTAGGGTTGGTGAGTTTAAAGAAAGATAGGATGGTTGGTTGCCAACAGTTGATTTGTAACATGTCCTGATCCGACCTTGAACTTGTCTGTCTGGTGGACTGCTAGTGGGAGACAAAGTCACCAAGGCCTTTGTTTTAAGCTGTCAGGTTTTTGTCTTAAGTTAGAAAGGTAAGGAAGAAGCTGGGGCTTTTGGGAATTTGACACCTTTATTACCTAGCCCTGACCCCTCTCTGCCTTCTCATCTCTGCCTAACAGGGAGTCTGTATAATTCCAAATCTCTCTGGTAGATCCAATGTAAGCTATGTCACATGTTCCCTTGTTTTGGAAGACTTTTAAAAATCTATCACAGTTTTTGGATCAGGGGAGATATCTCTGTCAGTAAAGTGTTTACTGCATGGGAACCTGAGTTTAATCCCTAGAATTTACTTGAGAGAGGCTTGCTATAGTTGTAAATTCTTGTAATCCCAATGCTGGGGGAGGTGGGGACAAGTGGATCCCTGGCACTCACTGGCCGGCAAGCCAGCCTAGCCAATTCAAGGAGTTGTAGCCCAATGAGAGATTCTGTTTCAAATACAAGATGAATGGTACCTGAGAAAGAACACCTGTGGCTGCATGCAAGTGCATGTCTATATATAGGCACTAATGTGAATATGTGTCCATATACACAAAACATCACAATTTATCCATTTGGCAGTATTTATGGCAAGGTACTGTGTGGGTACTGTTCTAGATAGGTCCTAGCAGGATGTGCTGGTATGCTTTTATGCCATCATGACACTGGTAAGGTCTGCTGTGAAGACGGAATTCTAATTGAGAAAATGCCACTATAGGGTTGTCCTGTAGGCAGTCTGTAGGGCATTTTCTTGATTGATGGTTGATGTGGGAGGGCCCAGCTCACTATGGACAGCTTCACCCTTGGGCAGGTAATCTGGGATTCTATAAGAAATTAGGCTTAGCAAGCCCTGAAGAGCAAGCTAGTAAGCAACATTTCTCCTTGGTCTCTGCTTCAGCTCCTGCCTCTGTGTTCCTGCTTTTAGTTTTTGTCTTGACTTTGTTCAGTGACAGACTGTGATGTGAAAGTGCAAGTGAAATAAACCCTTTTCTTCCCAAGTTGCTTATGGTCATGGTATTTAATCACAGCAGTGGAGATCTAAACTAAGACGGGGGGGGGGGATTTGCAGAGGTGTTTTTATTCATCAGATGACTTACAATCAGGTTTTGACTGGCATGAAGGAGTGACCCTGTGTATTCAGGCACAGTCTGAGAATGTAAGCTCCTTAGGGTAGGTTGCTTTGTTAATTTTTCCAATAGATCACCAACATCTGGAACATTGATTGGTAGGTACATAGTAGGTACTAGGACAGATTTCTTGGTTCAGTGAGTGAGTTGATATCATTCCAGCTGAATTTGGAGAAACTGGATAGTTATGTAAGCCTTTGCAGTTTTATTGTTGATAAATATTTCATTTTCAGTGAGCTGAATGGCTGTTTCATTTATTGTATTCTTTTTTTTTATGGGATAGATCTAGGGAGGGACGGGGTGTGTGAGGCAAGAGTTCTTCTTGGACATCATTCTGCCTTTTCTGTGAGCAGATGTGCTCAAGATGAAAAGTTTAAAGCAGGCATGCTTACGTTTGTCTTACCGGGAGAGGAATGCCTTTTCCCTCCATTTAGTATGTGTCCATCAGATTTTACAGAGGACAATAAGGCATTTACCCAGGCCTCTGTGGCAGCTTGTATTTCTTATGTTATAGACTGTTTCTGCCAACTCTGGAAGACAGCCTCGTGGTCTGGCATCACGGGAACTGTCACTAAAAGCTGTTTCCCTATCCTGTCCTGTAGCAAAGCTGTGGTTGCAGTGACTTGTATCCAAATTAAAGCTCTACAGCTATCGGGAGTCCTACCTTGGGAAGATGTGCTTTCTTCCTTTCGGTTTTTTTTTTTTTTTTGAGTTTTTCTCTTTGCAAAGGTAAGCTTGACAATGTTATCTTGTAGGGCTGCCCTACTCAGTAGGATACTAACTCTGAGTGATTAACAGTGCCTAGTTAGTTTTTATCCTTCTTTGTCAGATTCTCAGCCTCTCCACAAAAATACAGCTATATTTTCATAGCTTGGAGGATTATAGAGGTTTGAACTCTGGGTTTCAAGAACTTTTTTGTTCCAGTGTCATGGAAAAACTATTTTTAAAAAAACCCTCTGTATACTTAATTAAAAAGTTTTCCAGAGTTTGAGCTTAAAGTTAGTGGAGAGAGAGGGGCGGGGGAGGGAGGGAGGGAAGAAGGGAGGGGAGACTGACTCTGTGGTGAAAGAGATGCTTGTAACTTCAGTTTGCTATGTAAGGTGCCAAAAGTTATTTTTCCCCAGGGAGTGCCTCTTTCAACAGTTTGTGAAGGCAGTGTAAATTCTCACTTTGTTCAAGGAAGACGGTAATACAATTTAGTAAACCAAAGTTCTGTTTTGTTTTTGTTTTTTGTTTTTTGTTTTTTTTTGTTTTTTTCTTTTTACTTGTTAGAAACCCAAATGTGAATACAGTGGCAAAGTTGTCAGCACACTGGAGTTTAACAAGTGTCTGAAGGATTAGTAAAGGAAATGTAGTTTACTCTGCAGCTTTTATGACAAAGAATTTAAAAGGTTTTGCTCTAAGCCTCACCATGTGTTTCTTCCTTTTCTCCGAAATATACCACTAGGTTGAAAAGCAAGATGAATCTCTCATTAACTCTGGGGGAGTTTATCCTTGTTAGATAGGCTGCCGAGCATTTCCATTTGAATCACCTCTCAGTGTAGCTTGTGCCCTAATCTTGTCCTACAAGTTGGTAAGGAGTTTAAGTACTTCCTACTTTGTTTGTGTCCTTGTAAGGCCACCTTAGTTTTCTTGAGACCATAAATTTTCTAATTCAGAAGTAAGTAAATTTCTGGGACCCTGCATGTTGGCTCTGCGTGGAAACAATTGCTGGTTGTCCTCTAAACAGGGAGCATTGGCCAGAGTTGTCTGTTTTCCACAGTACTTACTACTCCATTAAAAATGCCACAAAAAGGCAAAATATTGCAGAAAGTTTGAAAAGGAGGTAGAGTACAATTCACCTACATCAAGTCCACCTTCTAAGCTTCTAGTATTCCTGTGTTAAGAGGTTGTTATTGGTGTACAGTTCAAATGAGGAAAAGTTAATGCTTACCATGAGACCTTATTGTTTGATGGCTGCAGAAGAGTTTTAGTCTTAGCAAGTGGTTTCCTATTATTCGTTATCAAGTTCTGTGCCCTTTGACATGAGACAGATTGTTGATTTCTTTGGTCAAATTTTTGTTTTTGCCTTTAGGGGAAGGAAGTGGGCAGGTGAAAAGGTCATGCAAAGGTAAGCTGCGTTACCTATTACAGTGCTTACTCCAGACTAAATCCATAGCAAATCTCATGTGAGCCCTTAAAAGCATTATTTATTTTCACGTGCATGTGTGTGTACTTGCATGCATGCCATGATATGAGTGTGGAGTCAGAGGACATCCTGTAGGAGTCAGTTCTCTCCTTCCACCATGTGAGTTTGTGCGGGAAGGGGGGGCAGTAGGTGGTGAAACTCTGATTGTCAGGTTTGGTAACAAGTGTTTACCCACTGAGCCATTTTGTCTGTCTAAATGAGCCAAAAACAAAGCAAAGCAAAAAAGCAATAACTTTTAAAAAGTAAATCAAAGTAGCAATATTTGGGGGCTGAAGAGATGGATCAGCCTTGGCTGTTCTTGCAGAGGACCTGGGTTCAGTTCCCAGCACCTACATGGTGGCTCATAACTCTTTGTAACTCTTGTGGGATCCTGGGAGATCTGCCACTTCCTTCTGGTCTTCTCAGACACCAGGCATGCAAGTGGTATACATGCATGTAGGTGAAACAGCCACATACACAAAATAAAATAAAAATGAATTAAAAAATAACAAAGTAGTAATACTTTAAAAACAATTAGATTGTAACAATTATTAGACTGCATTTAATGCTTGCTTTTAGTTTCATTATTTTGTGTGAGGAACATTTCTGCTGATGGAGTATGAGGATTATATAGGTTGTGTTAATCGAAAGAGAATAGCAGGCACTTACTTAACGACCTGTTGATGGGAGAAAAGGCTTTTTACTTGCTGTCATGTTTCCCTGGACAGCTATGACCCAGGGCTGGATTTGGACAGCAGTTGTGAGATATATACCTTCCAGATATAAAGTGTTTCTGGTGAAGGTTTGTTTCTGTGGCAAGGGACTACCCTTCAAACCCACCCAAAGAGACAGGGTATGACTGACATTTAATATCACACTTCCTGGTGCTATGTTTTCATTAAACCCAGTATTTCTGTGAATGTATGTATTTTGAAACAGGTGCCTCAGCTTCCCTCATGTTACAACTACAGCCGTATATCACTGTGTCCAGCATTCTAAAGGTTTTTAAAATTACTATTATTTTCTAATTTGGTATTTGTAATTGAGGGCTGGGGGAGTAGCCTGTATTTCTTGGAGATTGAGACAAAAAATTTTGCCTTGTTTAAGGTGCCTGTGTAGCTCAGTACTTGGTTGAAAATGCTTTGCCTGGAATTTGCACTGGACATATTTGGAGAAGAAAGCCTCCCTGCATTGTGCATTTAAAAAAGTTTTTGTAAGTATGCTTAGAAAATGGCAGCATTTATTGGTTTTGGCTGTCAATGTCTGCTGCTCCTGACTGTGTTTAACCAGAAAGGGAAACTCAGAGTAGAAAAAGTTTCACTCCCAAGATTTTACAAGAGAACCCGTCTTTGTTGAGTTATATATATATATTTTAAAGGAGCTTGACATCTTCATCAAGTTCACAGTGGGCTTGCTTTGTTTGCTTTCTCTTGAATGCTTGATAAGATTTTTCTTCTATTGTTTTGTGCAGTAAGAACAGATCTTTCCCTGGCTGGGGTGGGTTTTTTGTAAATCCACAATATGGTCATTGTCTGGTGGTGAATAATTGTGGCTGCTTTTTGTACAACCAGAACTAAGGCTTTGGCTGTGAACAGATTCCTTCTTAGTGTGAAAAGGGACTAATCCATGTAAATACAGCCCCCAAATAAAGCTTTACAGAGAAAGGGGAAGGCCGCTAAGCAGGAGGGCACAGGTCAGCAATTTAACCTTTAACCTAACAAATAAGAAGCATGAAAGTTCCAGAATTGGTTTACAAAAGAAAGCTCCTGTGATCTGTCAGTTTTTCTTTTCAGGAGGGGGCTGGGGGAGAGGTCTGACTGACAGCTAGTGCCTTTTAACTGCAGCCTGAAATTAACTGCCAAATTGAAACTTGAATATTTGAGGGAGAAGTTTCCTTAAAGAAGTGAAGGTGGCAGAATAGACTATATAGGCTTCAGCCTGGGATTTTAGCCTGTAAGTGGGGTGAAAAGCTTAGAACTGGACTGCTGTTAGGATCCCTCCCAAGACTGTCAGTCTGTGGTCTGACTCTTATGTCAAACTAGACATGAACTTTGCAGTTTCAAGCCAGGAGAAAGAAACTCTTCCCCCTTTCTAGTAGTATCACTGATATCCTTTGTAGACGCTTCTTGCTTCTTTAAATTAATTGTAGCTTTAACCAAAGATATAAGAGCTTTTTGTAAATGTAATGAATATGTTTTCCCCATCTTGAGATTTCACTGCTTACAGCTGTCACAGCCTGGTGCATTTTGGGACTCAGTGTAGTGTGGAGCTGTGAGGCAGAGGATGCAGGAATGCTCTCACACACTGTTGTGTAACTCTATGGGCACACATAGTTGAGGCTGAGCAGCAGAAATTGGAGTATCAGGCAGTGCATGGGGACACCAGAAGCTGTGGCAAAGGAGGGATTTCTCCATCTCCTATACAGGCTAAAATAAGGTTGTGGTGAGCTTTACTGTTTTACTTTATGCTGTTTTACCCATTTACAAACTTTGCAAAACAGTTTGTATTTATTTAATCACAACAGGTAATCTTGTTAGTGAGTGTTAGTTTTTGCTTAAAGCATAACGCATCTCAAGTTAGAGGTTCCATCTCACTGTGGAGAATTTTGTAACTGTAAAAGCTTTAATTACTAAGAATTATTCAGATTAAGAGAAACAATGATCTAATGACTTTAAAGTAGCTCTCCATAGATGAAGAATAGTAATTACACTGTTATTATCTCGTAGAACCAAAGGCCCAGGGATGAGACTGAGTTCTTCAGTTGTCCTTAATGCAATGGTTCTCAACCTTCCCAATGTTGTGACCCTTTAATATAGTTCCTCATGTTGTGGTGACCCCAACCATAAAATTACTTTTGTTGATGCTTCATTACTGTAATTTTGCTACTGTTATGAATTGTAACATAAATATCTGATATGCTAGATATGCGACTCCTGTGAAAGAAAGGGTTGTTCAACCCCAAAAGGGGTTGTGACCCAAAGGTTGAGAACCACTGGCTTAGGAAGTTGTTTTCTTTTTATCTATCCTTGCCATTCCTAGAGTGTTTTTTGTTTGTTTGCTTGTTTGTTTTTCATTTTGTTTTTTGGTTTTTTGTTTTTTAAGACAGGTTTTCTCTGTGGCTTTGGAGGCTGTCCTTGCACTTGCTCTTGTAGACCAGGCTGGTCTCACTCACAAAGATCCGCCGGCCTCCTGGGATTAAAGGCATGTGCCACCACCGCCAGCCTAGATTGTACTTCTTTGCTTTCTGGCACAATTGCTATTTGCTCATCTTTTCCTTAGCACAGAAACTGGTTATTTCTTCAAGAAGCTCTAATTTCTTTTAGTGGAGAATGCAATTTAAGGCTCTAAATATGAATACAAAGGGCTGCTGTTGAGTGTGTCTCTTCCTTAGGCCATCTTGGTGGACAGAGGTAGGGAACAGATGATGTCCATTTAGACACCTACTTTTCCCAAGTTGATCCTGATTCTCTTACTTGGGATCTGACATTTAGGTGTTCACTCTATGAAAAGTCTCTCTAGACTGTTCAGGTGCTATTACACCTCACACTGGGGTAACTTATGTGCATACTTTACTCATTGCTTTGGAACCTTGTGTCTGGTAGCTGTTCTTTTTGGATGTCCACTTCTCCTTGGTTGAGCTTTGATTCTCCACACTGGATGAATCCTGAGTAGACTGTTTTGTCATTCTTACGTTCTGGAATATCCTGTATTGGATTGCTGCTTGAGCACAGGAACCCTCTTCATACCACTTGGATTCTTCTTCATGTTGGCACTTCTTATGTGAATACTGTCTGTACTCCACTCTGGACCACTATGGCTATCTCTTGCCATCTGTGGATATCTAGGTTGTCTGTTAGGAAGAGAAGGGAAAATTTAATTTTCTTTGATTTTTTTTTTTCTGTTTAACGCACAACTTCATTGCTTTTACTTTAGTTCTGGCCTTTCTTATTCTTCCTTTAACAACTGCCACTTAATTAGCTTCCTTTGGTTACGTCTGTCTTCTACATGCTTTCAGAATGTGTTTGAAACAGATGCATTTGTGCCATCCTTCTGCTTAACCTGATAATATGGTATACTTGTTAGCATGGAGCTCAGGCATTTATGACCTACCTGACCTCTTCTCTCTCCCATCCTGTTGCTGGCCTTATGCTCTGTCTGCTTGAGTCACTCTGGGCTCTTTGTCTTCCTGTTTCTGTACTTGATTTCTTTCTTTTTTGTTATCTTCCTCCTTCACTTCCATTGTCCACTAAAACTCACACCAGATGCCACCTCTCCTAGACCTCTTGTCTTTTTCTGTAGCTGCCATTTTGAAACACTTTGTTAGATGTCCTTTGTCTTGGAATCTTGCTGTTTGAATTCTTCTATATGGGCTAACTTATCCAATAGGTGGCTAGCTAAATACAGAGACATTTTGGTTGGCAAGATTGCTCAGTGGGCAAAGGTACTTGCTCCTAAGTCTATGACTCGAGTTTGATCTCTGAGACACATATAGTGGAAGAGAAGCAACTCCTGAGTGTTGTCCTTTGACCTCTACCCCTGTGCCATAGCATGTTCCCCATTCTGAATTAGTAAGTCTAATTTAAAAAGAGACATTTAAAGATATTTTTATTTTACAGAATTTATCATTCAATAGAGTTTGTTGTGTCTTATGTGATGTTAATGTCATTTGTAAGACCTTTGAAAGTCTCATTTACAGAGTTTTACGTGTTACTTATGGTTCAAGTGTTCTTTCTCTCCCTC